ATTTTTTTGAAGAGAATGAGTATATTATTTACTAACTATAGTTACTGTAGTAGCTACAATTACTACGTACGTTCTCGAGGTAGTGTATTGTGTATAAGTCACTCTTTGTCTTCATATCGTAAATGAAAATTTCAATTTTCCTAATGAAAAATGTTATTGGCTATACCCGCACAAAATTTTCAGACATGCCTATGCATATTTTTTAATTTACAAATATTGGCCAAAAATATATTTTTGTAAATTGAAAACGTAGTAAAGATCAAGAATAGACCAGCATAGACTAACAGGTTTGGCTTTGCTACATGTGCATAAAAATAATATTGTATCCATTGATGAAACCATCAACAAATTTGCCAAAATGAAAAAAAGAAATTTGGAATTTGTTATTTGACTACTTACCAACCTTATGTTTTCTACTTAGATATTTGTTAAATTAAGTTACCTATCTTAAGTGTTTATTAAAGTTTTTAAAAAATAATTAATAGGTACTATTACTACTATGAGTAAGCTATAAGTAAAGCTTGCGACGACACTGATGATACATTTCAAAATGTATTCTATATACCAGTGGTCGCCAATCATTTGGACCTCACGGACCACTTGCTAGTTTGATGTGTTCTAAAAACTAAATATTTAACGATGAGAATATGATTTCGGCTACAATATTTTAACTACGCACTGCGCCCTTTTAGAAATCCTGCAGCAGACATCACGCGTACTGGTAAATAAAATTAACGCAACCGATGTAATAAAATAAAAAACGTTATAATTACTATTAATAATTCTCGCATACATGATATTTTACACTGAAAGTATTATTTCTGTGTGGTACTCATTTTCTGATAGTCCAGTTGTCGGTCGTCGTATCAACGAGATCGGTTTTTCGAAGAGATTTTCGTTGCCGCGCTTATTATACGCAGCTACCGTAAGCCGACAGTTTCCAAGATTAATATAATAATTACGCGACGATACAGTCGATTAAGCATGCGGAACGTGCAGTAATTATTACATGACTGAATTTTCAACAGTGTTATTACGTACAATCCGTTTGTATTGTAATATTATTCAAAACCAGAGCGACATTTTCACTCATTCGAATCCGAAACGAAAATCCTACAATAGTTGCAAAATTATACGCGAGTTTTTTCTAATAGTACATTCGACGCGATTGAAAGCGCTTTAAAATGTGTATTAAATTCGTACAGTAATATGTGAGTGGAAAACGTGGTTTCGGCTCTTCCCGTTGTCGCCGAACTTATTGTGAGGTGTTAAATAACCGTAGAACCAACATCATGGGAAAAAAAAATTATGATAATAATATTGTTTTATTATCATATTATTCATGGCGAATTCTTGAAATCATCATAATGATTTATCTACAACAACGTATTGTGAAATCTGTACACTGAAATCATGTGCACATACATTTCATTAAATTTATATACATCCTACCTACATAGCTGTATGTATTTATAATGTGTGTATAACGTGTGATACCATTCCAGATGTTCGCACGTTTCATACGTAAATATTACATCGAATAACACTCGATACATAGCATTTCACCGCCACAGTCGTAATTTTGTATATCTCGAAAAAATAAAAAGATATGTCTAATCTATTCCGAGGGCTTTGGTTACTACATGTACTTGATACCGGTGTTAGATATACGTGAGAATTGACGAATTCACGGGATTGGCTTGAAAAGTACTAATAAAACTAATCTCCAATTGCGAAATGAATATATATTCGGTCATCTCCATAATTTACTTCTTGTAAAAAGCTTTATACCGTTTTTATGTTTTGTAATGCTTTTATCCGATAGTACGAGACTACTAATTAGAAATGAAAGTATGGTTTATGAATGAAAAAACATAGTGTATTGACAACTGCAGATCATTTTGTCATCCAATGTCCACAAAAAAACAAAAATGAATGATTTACACTTGACAGTAGTACAATGTCAATTATTCGATTTTTTCGAGTAGTTTATAAAAATACTAGGGCGCCCATGAATCAAAAACAATTCAATTTACTGCTTTTTATAAAACTTTAATACTTTTACAATAACTAATAGAATAACATCCCGTAAATGTGTTCGAATAAATCATATTTATTTTAGTATATATATTTTAGTATACTCAGAATATACTATAATATATAATGAATATCAGTCACTATAGGTCAGTTTTGCTTTTTTTTTTCGTGACATCACTATAATTAGTGTTCATACTGTCTACAGTTGAATTTCACAAGTAACTACGCATTTAAAATGTACGCATATTGTAATCAACCATTGTAATCAACCATTGTAATCAACTATTGTAATCAACCAAAAATGTTTGATTTTTTTTTTTATCATTTAGTTCGTACGTATAATATAATTGTATGTATAATCATAAGTGTGCACACGGGGTAATCAGGGTAGGTACTTGACTATTCTGTGAAACTTCCCACCCTCACCAAAATATTCAATATGATCACAATAATAAATAAACATATTATTTTCAACCACTTCGAAACATTAGTTAACGTTAAAAAAAATGTAAGAATACTGGAGAAATATAGTTGTTAAGTTAAATAAAGTTACGAATGCAAATTTTTTGTTAATATTAAATGATAATGTGTTATGTTTGATTACCCTGCCAGTTATGTCTGCACACGCTTATGTGTATAATGCAAAATCATAATACATGGTTGAAACAGACGTTGGCGATTTTGAAAAATTAGAGTAATTAATTTTTTTTCTTCTCTTATACAGATGTAAATTGGAACTGTATACGTGATTATAACTCTCAAAGGTTACCTACATTTGTCGTTCAACGCAGTTTGGATCTACAGTAGTTATTTTATTAAATGAATAACCGAGGTCGTCGTAAAAAAATAAAATAATCTTATATATTAAACCGATGTTTTTAAACATGACAGCTATGTACGATATGCCCAAGGACTAGAATAACAAAGCGTTTTTTCTTTTCTCGTGTAAAAAAAAGGGTTATCAATATTTTATCATTTTTAACATTGTAAATGTTAAGAATGGAAGTGTTTTTCTTTAATACGAGGAATTTCGCGTATACATACGAAAAATGTGCATAATCATAGACAAAATACATAACTATATAATAAACTTGAACAAATATTACAATCAATACTGTCAATACGATTATTATAATAAAACACTTTAATTTAACGAAGTTAAAGTAAATGTAATGAAGTTAATGTAACGACATTAAGTAAGTAAAAATTGTTAAAATTAATTTTACAGTATAAAATCTACTCAAAACTTTGTAATAAAATAATTTGTGCTCCGCGGATGTTTTATTTTTAATCTATTTAACTTATGACTTTCTTTAAAAATCATACTTAAACATACTTACTTTAATTACCTGAATATCACAAAACAAATGTTAATATTATCGCATTATAATGCAATTACAATTCAATGATTTTAAACGTTCTGATATAGATAATTTATTTTGTGTCGAATTACTCGGATACGGAATACTACTACACATTAATTTATAGTAAATTTAACATATACCTACCGTAAAAAAGTGTATCCAATACACTATTGGTAATAGTCAACTGCAAACATTTATAATTAAAAGTATTGTAAAATAATTCAGATTATTCTTATTTTGCAGTAACAGTATGAAATAATTTCGAATACAAAACATGTGTCTTTATACATATTGAATACAATGGAAATGTATAAAAGTTTCGACAAATATTATTCAATCAATAGCCCGAGGTATAATAATTGATATCCAATGCTCATTATAATACTAAGTATTATGAAAACGAGTAGGACGACAGGTCGAACCATAATACACAGACAAACGCAGAGATTAAAAAAATCATATAGCTTGTATTATAAATACAAGTCTCAAACATCATGTTATTGTTTTTTTTTTTTTTTTTTAATTATAAATGTTGTAATAAATATTGTAGATAATTACTGTAAATATTAAATTTTCATAAAAAAAATATTGTAAATTTACGATTTCAAATAGCTTAGCTAATATTATATTTATACGCATAATCGAGATTCTTTAAAACATTATTTTACTTTTATTTTTTTTTTTCAAGAAAAAATTATTCTTAATCGTTTCAAACATAATCTGTAATAAAATATTCTGTAAGAAAAATGGTATAATCCAAAGATAACGCTCAAAGTCACGGATTATTTTAAAATTATACCAGCATTCAAATTTAATTCACACTGCATGATGTGATCGGTGTCAAACAAAATTTAAACATTCCTTGAGCGTTCTACGGATTATTAATATTTTCTAAGCGAAATTGAAATATTATTATCGAAATTTTCATTTGTTTTTAAACGGTTTTTAACAATAATAATAATATTGTGAGTTTGTGTTCTGCAGGAATAATATACGAAACGTAGTCCGACCGGCTACACATGTGTGTATAACCTAACCGTACACCGACCGCATGTATACACCAGAAACACCCTAGGCCCGAAGTATCGTATCGGATACAGAAAATGTGTTCGGGTGGGTACATCGAACGAGCCAAACCACAACAACAACAATAATACCTGTTCTTTCACTTGTTTGTGATTTCGGTTTGGCTTAGCGTTATTTGTCCGGAGCAATAAACAAAATAGTAATAGCGGTTTTTACGATTTCAACTCGGAATTCGTAATCGGGAAACAACCCATTTTTGTTAATAATTATTAAAATGTCGAAAGGGAACGGAACGAGATACGTTTGGTGGATAAATGAAAAAAAATGTTGACGCGTGTCCGATCTCTATGATCGCAATAATAATAATAATGTAATAATTATCATAAACATTATTAAAATCCGAGAAAACCGGTCTGGTGAACTAACGGACGGACGGTCGGGAGAGGAGGTAACTACGGTTTACGTGTGTGCGTCGTACGCCCTCCCCGAATAGAACTGCGACGCGTCGAGTGACGTAAACGGACCGAAGACAGCGGCTTATAAGAGAACGGCGAAGAACGAACGGCCTTACGGGTGGAAAAAAAAACATCATCAACGCAACTCCGGCGTTTCCGTAGGCGTGCGCGGTCGGTGTGCACGTCGCCCAAAGGCGACCGTGCAGCTCGCGGCTACGGCGGACGGGCGGGGTGCGGCGTGACGAACGTATAAAACGAAACGATACGTGCGGCCGCGCCGGTAGAGTGTCGTGGTCGTGCGCTGGTTCCGACGATCGTGCAGCCGGCGGTGAGGTAGATAGCGCGCCCGCAACGGAGTAGCGAGTGAGAGGAGAGAGCGAGAGAGGGAGGGAGTGGGACGACCGACAAGCCGGTCTCTCCGCGTATTCACCGTCTCGCCAGTCAGTCGAGAGTTGCGTCCGCGAACGTTACGCTGTTGCCCAAGTGCTTGTGGTGTGCTTGTACGTTTATGTTCGCGCGCGGTGCCCTAGCGTTCCCGTCGCGGCCATACATCGTATACGGTGGTGTGAAGCAACCGGAGTAGTAGAGTAGAACTGGTGAAGGCATCGGCGACGACGACGACGACATCAACAACAACCAAACGGCTAACTGCAACAACCGCAACGACAACAAAAACATTGTTCCCCGTCCGTCTGACAAAATCCGTCGTCGTAAACGTATCGACGACCGCATAATACACACATACGCACGTACGATCGGACGACGAGGAGGATCTGTGTAACAACGCTCCCTGTATTGTCGAGTTATTAACGATATCTTTTGATATCATTCGAGAAGAGTACGCAGCACGTCGTCGCCGAGACGTTCGGGGTTTTTTTTTTTTTTTTCGTTTTTCGATATTTCCGTGTGGATATCGAGGAAAAACCCGCCAATAAGTCTGCATTAAAATAGTAAATAATTTTTATAGTCAAATCGTACGAACGGATAGAAGTGTAATATACCATATTTTAATATTACAATACATTCGTCGGCGGATATTTAAGTGCTGTGATATTGTTTTTTTTTTTTTTTTAATTTAATTAAATATTTATTCGTTATTAAATTATTACGCGAGACCAACGTCGTTAACATAAAATCGTTCACTCTTCCATACGTACACAAACACACAATCGCATCGTATTACTCATTTGCAAAAGTATTATCTATTGATCTACTAGTGAACGTTAGTTAGAACAACGTCAACATGGTCGAGAGTATCATCGAAGAAACCCCTGGGCAGACTGAGAGCACTCAGAGTAAGTGTTGGCATCTTTCTTTATTTTAACAGCTGTGTATTATATTATAATTCTCATATTCCTCCGTGTTTTTCTGTTTCGATTTACAGATGACCCCATTGAAAAGAAGTCTGAATCCCTATCCCTGAGAAAAGAAGAAGCCCGTATTAAGCGCAAGAAGAAGAAGATTACCAATAGTCTCGTGACATCGTGTTTCCAAGGTATGTGATTTAGTAATATGTAGGAGAGAAAATTTGAAATCCACTAATTTATAACTCTATTTCCATTAATTTATGTATCAAAACATTAGGAACAAAAGATGATTAATTTATGTATCAAAACATTAGGAACAAAAGATGATAGACAATTTTAATATTAATTGTCTATTGTTTATAACAAAAATATGTTCGGTGTTGGTTAACTAGTTAGTTATTTTCCATGATACAAATTGTTATAATTGGAATTGTAAAAAATGTTAATATTAAGTAGTAATTGAATTCTTCAAAGTTGTACTGAAAAACAGTTATTGAATTGATAGATAGCAAATAAGGAAAGACCCATATATTTTATGAATAAATGTTAAATTTATTAACACCTAACCTGTTCTCAATTAGAATTAATTATTGTCAATATTTATTCTTATCAAAATTATGGTAGTCATACTGCACTGTGTTTGCTCGAAGAGGGTTTGTAGGTCATTTTCTGTTAATAGTTTTTGCTACGGTTAATAAGACGACTGTACATTTGCCAACATTTCAATAGACAATAACTCAGCCAAACAGTCAAAAGGGAACAACAGTAATACAACATTCAAGCTTGGTATTTTCCGTTTTAATCAATGACTTAATAATGTACCTAAATTAAAATAGTTAATTGAAACACGTAAATAATCAAAATAAAAAAATCAATAATTCAAATTATTGAAGGTTAAAATGTCATTTGAAATATACATAGGTACTAGCTTACAGTTTTGTTCTAGAATAACTTATTTCAATTTAAATGTTAAGTTCATTTTATTATGATACTCAAGTAAAATTATTACCCTAGATCTAGTTAAGTCATACCTTTCAGGTAATTAGACTAAAAAATTACAAGTTTTGAGTACGTTTTACAATCAATGATATTATCTATTTTTAGGCTTATACAAAATAATTTATGTGAATTTATTTATATGTATATCCCCAAATGTAAATAGATTGCAGTTTTAATGATGAAATAATATTATGTATTTCAATCATAAGAAGCATTGTAATTAATAATAAGGAAATGCTGATTATTAATTAAGTTATTTCTATTTGTCAATGAATAAAGTTTAAAATAAATATTGAGTTTTTAATTAAAGTGTACAGTGTACAATTTTTAGTCACCTAAATCAAATTCAATAGTTGATCATTTTCAAAATTTTAATTTATAATAAATTCTATAAATATTTAAACTAAAAACATTTATACCTTAGTAGATATTTTTATTTTAGTACAATTATTATTACTTTTTTTTTATTTAGGAAGTTTTAGATTTTATACTTAATTCTTATGATTACATTATTTTATGTAAAGATGCATTCTATAAATTATACTAATATCCGGTTCAAAACCATAATTATTTAAAAGTACTGATAGGTTATTTTATATGATATGATAAAAAAATGTTTATTTTTAGAAACCTTATTTTTACATACTTTTGATATTTTCATAATATAAACTGTTAAAATTATATTTTGAATTATTACTATTGTACTTATTAAGTTAACCATGTAATGTAGTTACTGAATTCTAATTACATAATACTATCTATTCTTATTAAAATGTTCTTAATTATGTATTTTTAATTTTTTAGATGCATATAAATTAACTGGTGAAGTGTTGGGTCAAGGTGCATATGCTTCTGTTCAGACGTGTGTAAGCGTGTTAACCGGCTTAGAATTTGCTGTCAAAGTGATTGATAAAATAGCGGAACATGCTCGTGCACGTGTTTTCCGAGAAGTTGAAACATTTTATCATTGCCAGGGTCACCCAAATATCATTCAAATGCTTGAATTTTTTGAGGCTGATGACAAATTTTACATGGTTTTTGAAAAGGTTGTGGGTGGACAACTGCTTGATAGAATTCAACAACGGAAGCGATTTACTGAACGTGAAGCTAGTCTTATTATTAAAGATTTAGCTAGTGCACTCAACTTTTTGCATCAAAAAGGTATGTATCAAATTTAAGGATCTATTATCTGTAATTTTGAAATTTAATTTTCAATTTAATTTTATAGGCATTGCTCATCGTGATTTGAAACCAGAAAATATCCTATGTGTAGATCCTATAGAATTAACTCCTGTTAAGTTATGTGATTTTGATCTTGGTTCTGGTATCAAGTTAAATCCTGTTGATGGCAGTGCAACGCCACAACTATTAACTCCTGTAGGAAGTGCTGATTTTATGGCTCCAGAAGTTGTGGATGCATTTGTTGGAAGTCCAGATTCTAATTACCATTATTATGATAAGCGTTGTGATTTGTGGTCACTTGGAGTGGTGGCATACATACTTTTGTGTGGATATCCACCATTTTATGGGAACTGTGGCTCTAATTGTGGATGGGAATCTGGAAATGCTTGTCCGGAATGTCAAGTAAGTTAGCAATGATAATGAGATAATCATAATTTTAATACTGAAATTATTATTTTAGGGTTTGCTTTTCATTAGCATTCACGAGGGCCGTTATGAATTTCCGGATCGTGAATGGGCAGATATTTCAGATGAAGCCAAAGATTTGATCAGCAAATTGCTTGTTAAAGAAGCTAGTGCTCGTCCAAGTGCTGCTGAGGTCTTAAAGCATCCATGGGTGAATAGATTACAACAAGAAAAACCAAAAGAACGTGAACTTAGTACACCAGTTGTGATCAGACGCAACAACAGTGCACGTGCTCTTTCTACATTTGCTGAGTCTGCTATGTCAGCTAATCGAGTATTTCTGCAGCATTTCAGTTTGTTTTCATCAACCGATGTACCTCTTGCAGCTGCCAAGAGACTTTCGCCACCATCTCATTCCATGATTGTACAGCGTAGGTCACTTGGTAAACCACAATGTTCTAATGAAACAACTGGTAATCGAGCTCCCGCGCAATTACCGATCATTGCTTCTCCTAGCGGCTAAGGTTGAATGGCTTACCATCATTACCTCCATTTTTTTATACTGATTCAATTTGTTAGCAAACAAACAATGAAAAATTATATATACAATATTTAAATTGACAATTTTTTTTTTTTTTAACTTAATAGTCTTGTATGTTTTTTTTTCTATTAAGACTCCAAATTATGCAATAAGTATTATAAGATAATAACTTTTTAGTTATATTATAATATGATACTACAGACTTATTTTTGTACTTTGAAAAGCTCAGTCTTATAAAAAAAAAAAATTTAAAAAAAAAGGTAATCATTAAAATTTGTGATAATTCCAATATTTGGTAAAATTAACATGTTTTGTACTATGGTGCCATTAATATGTAAACTCTCGGGTATGGTCAATAAAATCAACAAATTTGTTATTTTTTTTTTTTTTTCATATAAAAAACCAACAAGGTACCTTTAATAATAATATAAATAATTAGACATAGGTAGTTCGCAGAATAAGCATGCGTTTACACCAAAACAAATGTCTCATTTAGAATATAGCTCATCAGGTGCCATTTGTTTTTTTTTTTTTTTTTGTTACTAATGGTATAGAGAAAAAAAAAGGCTGTCATGCGTAGAGTTTAAGTTACAATTTTTGTGTATTTTTTTATGAAGAGTATGGAATGTTTTTTAAGTAAATTATTTATACAGTAATGCACGTTAAAATCTATTGTTACTGAAAAAAATTGTTTTTTTTAATATTGTGAATAAAAAAAATTATTTTTGAAAAATATTTAGATTAACTCAAATTGATTTTATAGTTATTTTATATGTAAATTCATAAATATTTTTTATGATATCAGTACCTATCAATTATAAGTCAAAATTGAATGCTTATAGAACATAATAATAAAGACATATTAATTAAAAATATACCATAAAATGAGAATATAAAAATGATTTTCCAATTGGTAACATTATTCAGATTAAAACTTAATAAAATCAGTGTTTATCAAGTAATAACTAATGTTTGAATGAATATTAGTTAGTATTACAGCCAAATAGCAATAATAATATATAATATTGATAATGCACTGAATTTTGAGTAATTTTGAGCCATTACTAAAACTATAGAAACTTAAAATATATATCCTATCAGTCAATAATAATTATGTTTTACATTTTTTATAATTTTTACCATAATGAATAATTTTATAAAATAATTAAATTATTTTTATAAGTTAAACTCTGCTGTAATTGATATATATCTATTATGTATGTACAATCTTGTTAATTATTTTCATTATTTAAATTTTTATTTTCAAAGTACATGGGTCCATTTATTACCATTAATATTGATTTATATATGTAATATAATTTAAATTCTATTAATAAGTTAAAAATCAAGTTAGTTCAATCGTTCTAAACTCATAAAAAAAAATTATGAATTATATTGGTAAACTTGTTCCTAATTAAAATTGATCTTGGTCATTTTATTTGTATTTTTTAAATAAATAAATCGGTACCGATTTTATAATATTGAAAATATTGAAAATCTTAAATTGTTTACACTCAATAACTAAATAGTTTTGATGTATTTAATACTGTTGAATTATGTCATTGTGAATAAAATCAGTAGGCTCATTATTTGGGTCTATCTAGATATTTTTTCAATACCTTATGTTGTAGCATGTCTCAAAGATAAAGTTAAATAGTAATCACTGATATTTTATATAAATATAGTTGTTAGTATACTTATGTTATTTAAAATATTTTTATAAATAATGTAAAGAATATTGATTTGTTCTACATGATAAAAAAAAAGGATTTAATAATCATACATTCTGAAAACAATTTTTTGAAATACTGCGAGTACTTAAATTATTTATAGAACTAAAACGTAACATGAATAATATTGATGTCGGATGAAATATAAGGCCACTAACGATAAACCCTATATTCCGATAGGACAGATAATATAAAAATTATAATTTTTTTTTGTATTTTACCCACAAAAATGTAATGAATTTTAATAATTTGTATTTTTTGAAAATTTAGTAATCAAATGCTCATAAGAATTTTTTAAATATTATGTTAATTTTTTTCATTGGTCTATGTATTATTCCGGTGAAAAAATATGGTTGGAATACGGAAAAAAAATAGTAGAGGAGTTCCGTCCCCTTGCGCACCTCCCACCAATTCGAGCACTGGTAATAAGTATATAATCCAGGAATGGAAAACGTTATTTTTAAATAGTGTTTATAAATAATGTTTTTCAAACGGTTATTTTTCTTTTATGTTTTCAAATAACGTTTTTGATAATTTTATTTTTTTTTGTATATATATTCTTATTTCTTATACCAAACTTATGATGGTTACAATTAATATTATATACACTGAATTTAGAAATGCACTTATGTTATAATTAACTATCTTAATATTATAAATTAAAATAATAATTTATATTTTATATGAAAATAATAAAATTCAAAATTTTAAATTAAAACGTTTTTAAAAAGTGCATTGGTAAAGAGTAAAGACTAAAGAGCAGTGGCAGCGCATTAAGGTAGACAAAGAAACATTTTCTACCCAAAAATATTAAATAATTTAATTTTAATAATAATTTGTTTATTATATGCTACTATACTATATAAGTATTTTATTTCTTCATAATTTTATAAATAAAATGTTATTTACACTGGTTCGTCTCTACAGTGTCTATGTGAGTGACGAGTGTGACTAAATAAATATTAATAAGTATAATTTTATTTATATCTTATCTATACCGTAATCGCTTCATCATCGCCGTCAAATCGGTGAAGCATATTGAATTGTGTCTCATTATTGATGACGGACGTATGATATGGTAAACAGGGGACCAGTATTACCAAAATTATATATTTGGAAGAGACATGTCTCAACGTAATATTTTAATAATTTAATTGCATTCCGACTGTGATTAATGCAACGTGTTTAATGTTTATTTTTTTTAATGAAGTGATATACATTTAAAACTTAATATGTCAGATATTATTGATATTATTTTAAATAAAGGTCTTGGTTCTTTTTCGCATGAAAAAAAATGCAATTTAAAAGTTAAGAGACCAACGCCACATTTATCATTAGAATATAAAGAACCAAAAACTTTAAGAAGATTTCAATTGTCTTGGTATTCAAAATTTAACTGGTTAGCGGGAAGTGTTGAAAGAGAAATTACACTGTCTTGTTCAGAGGAGAGAATGAGTGGAGTATAAATGGCATTCCTAATATAAAAACTTAGTTCGTAAAGCTGAAAAACACCAAATTTCAAAAAAACATCTAACTAATAAGGAAAGTTTTCATATGCTGGGTAAAAATAGGATTGAACATTCAATATCTGAGAGTCGTCGGTTAACTGTAATTAATCATAAAAAACAAGTGAACGTAAACAGAAAGATATTAGCTCGTTTAATCGATGTAGTTTGTTTTATAGAGAAACAAGAATTGGCATTCCGTGGACATCGCGAGAATGAAGGTTCTTTAAATAAAAGAAATTATTGTGAAATTTTAGATTTACTTGCTAAAGAAGAGCTATTTATAAGAGAACACTTTTTGACAAATTCTGTTTTTAAAGGAACTTCACATGACATACAAAATTACTTGATCCATTGCGGTATTAATTAATTAATTAATTACGGTTTTTAATTACGGTCATTAATTACGGTATTAAATTCTCATATTTTAAAAGAACTGCAATTCACAAATTTTATATCAATACAACCCGATGAAACTATATTTTATATTTTGTTGTATTGATATCCGTATACGGATGTATCATGCCAATCTGAAATGAGTTTAATTTTTTGTTATATTCTTGACAGTAAGATCGAAGAAAGATTTATAGGATTTTTTGATGTTTCCAAAAATAAGACTGCGGCTGGTTTATCCGAAGTAATTCTAAATGAACTTTCAAAGTGGAATATTGGTAAAAAAAAGTTGTGTGTCAAACATATGATGGTGCTTTTGTTATAGCTGGTGAAAAAACGAGGTTCAGTCAATTACACAAAATATTTATCCAATGGCTATTTTTATACATTGTTACGCTCATCAATTGAATTTAGTTCTTCTTCATGGCGCAAAATCAATAAAAGATGTTAAATTATTCATAGCAAACCTTACTATGTTCCACACATTTTTTAGTAGATCTAAAAGAAATGTCTTATTAAGAGAGCAAGGATTTAAATTACCAAATCAATTCAATACACGTTTAAATTATCATTTAAGAGCTGCATTGACTATAAAAACTCATTTCAATGAACTAAAAAAATGCCGTATCTCATGTAATTGATGACCCTGGCTGGGATTCGACTTCTGTTTGTACTGCATCTGGTATTTTGAGTATTATGAACAATTGAAAATTTGTTTACTTATTGGTAGTTTTTAGTAAAATATTTATATTTACTGATCACACATTTTGTAATCTACAAATTAAATCAACTACTGTTATTAAATATTGTGTTAAGGAAATTAAAAGTCTTACTTCACGGTTAAAAAATTTGAGAAATGAAACTTTCATACACGATATCATAAAATATTCCGTTGAATTAAACACAGATTTAAAGTATACAAATGAGGAACAATCTAATTTACGTCGACTTACATATAAAATTATTGATTCATTAATTGTTCAAATAAATATTACATTTAAAGATTTTAAAAAATTTTGAAAAAGAGTTTGTTGAAATAATAAATAAAAAAATGTTTGCATCATATAAAGTTCATTTTCTAGAAGAAAAATTAAGACAACTTTTTAAATACTATCCAGATATTTTTGATAAATATCGTCTAAAAAATGAACTTTACATAATATATGCAGATCCATTGAAATACTTTGCTTCTTTGGAATTTATTGATTTTATATTTAAAAGTAAGAACCTGAAACATTTCTTAAATATTTTTAATAATTTTTCAAATAAATTATAATTATAATTATAAACATTATTTTAGATGAGCTTCAAGAAGACACGAAACTTATTAAATTAGTATTAACTATTCCTGCAACCAGTGACGGTACTAGAGTTTGCGAGGCCCTGGGCAAAATAAATGTTGGGTCTTATAATTTATATAAATAAAATATTTTAAGTTCAGTTAAATCAGAACCGCAGGGCGTTAACTATAATTTAAGGCGCGGGACCCTGGGCAACTGCCCCTATTGCTCACCCCCTCGCGCCATCCCTGCCTGCAACAACAGTCTCAAGTGAAAGATCCATGAGTACTTTAAAATGTA